AAAAAAAAAAATAGTCTGCTCATTTTTACTAACTTAGAAAAATATTTGTATGAAAATGTGTTCTAAAGTTTGAAATACCATATTTCATTTAAAAAAAATTATATAAAAACAATATTATTTTTAATTAAATAAAAATACTAGTACACTCTCTGCACTGTTGGCATAAGATTATGTAGGTAATAAAGCATAGAATTTTACGGACGATCTCAAAAAAAATTCAAATAAAAGGGTGCGTTTACGCACCTTTGGCCGATAATGGGTTAACCGCAATACATCATACCACTGGAGCCATGATAATCCTAGAATTATAAGAGAAAGAAATTTTCAAAATCGATTTCACATTAATGTGTGGTGTGGTATGCTAGGTTCAAAAATATTAGGGCCATACTCATTTGACGGTTCTTTAACAGATGAACAATATAATAATTTTTTGAGAGATCAGTTACAAGAGTATTTGGAAGAATTAACATTTAATAAGAATGTCCATATTATTTTCTAACAAGTTGGTGCTCCTCTACATAGTGCCCAATTATTTGAATGCTACATTTGAGAAACGCTGAAGAAGACCCATACATTGGCCGTCACAATCCCCAGATATTAACATTATTAAAGACATTGGATTTCTTCCCTGGGGTTTAGTAAAAAACAAAGTTTATCTGACACCACTAAATAGCATTGATCATTTGAAAGACAGGATTAGTACCGCAATAAGTAATATTACACATAACGTTAAATTAAATGCAGTTAGAAGTGTAATTCGAAGAAGTGAATCGAAAGAAATAGACAGTTTGAACAGTACTTTAAAATTTCCGAGGGGTAAACCGCTAGGGAAGTTTTTGTACATGGCCCCAGAAAGTCGGGAAGAAGTTGGAGGAAGTTATAAGGAAGTTGAGGAAGTTGAAAGGAAATAACGCAATGGTGTAATTTATCTGAAAGTACCTATTCCTTTTAAGAAATCGGCTGTCAAACGTCTCACAGAAACGTTCCGTGAAGCAAAGTATCCTTTTGACAGGTGCCCGGGAAATTTGTAATTTGATACCATTTAGTATCATTATTTTAGGTAAATAACTTTCGAACAGTGCAAAACTGGGCTTTGAAACTTTGCCACAAAGTTATAAAATTAGAAACATGGCAAATGAGCAATAGTCACGAAAACATCGCTAGATCCTGAGCAATTTCTAGGATTGAAAAGATATTTTGCGTCATATTAATTACGCTCTCATAGACAGTTAGACAAAACACAATTGATCGTATTTACGATAAAAGTTTGGGTTTTTGGGCATCAGGGAGAGATTTACCCCTCGAAAATTTCACAATTCATTTTATATTTTTGTCTGAATTTAATGATG